TACTATACTATACTATACCTTGCTAACAGTCGTATCGCATCACATGGTCCACACAGTCGATCAATGACGCCTTCTTGTTTTATTCGTCTGACGAGGAGTCATCGGATGAGGTGCAGGGATTCTTGGGCGAGGTAGATGAGAGTTCCTTCTCCAACGGAAGCCAGGAGTATCTGTGTAAGTATTCGTGCGCGGGTGTTGAGCTGGAGAAAGTTTTCGTGGATGTGGATGTAGTCTTGCGCGACTAGTATTTTTGTGAATGCGAGGGTAGTTGTAGTATTTTCGGTGGGTATACGTGTGCGAACGTATATCTGTTCCATTTTCTTTGTCTATTGAATACACTCCTGTGTAGTTCTATACCGGAATAGTTAAACAACTGCCCCAATGGAGCAGAATATGCAGACGGGATAGCGTTTACAATTGATGTGAAGAGCCACACTGTATCCAAATAATGCGTTGCTTTGATTCTCATAAATAATTTCGTACTTGTACGGTCGTTTCTGCTGATGAAACGGGCTTCCGCCCGAGCAGCCGATAGTTTAAATGCTCCCTCGGTAAAACTTATTGCACTGAGTTTGGCTGACCCTCTTGTTTACTTTTATAACCTCATATATCCATCGTCACAGGCGCTTCAAGCTCGTTTGTAGACAGCGACGACTCCATCCGAGACAAGAACGAGTCCGATAGAACCCACACTCACGCACAGACACGCACACATACGCAGCCAAACACAACCACCACCCACACAACACTCTCTACAGCTACCAATAACCCCGATACTCACACTGCTAAGGCTGCCGTCGACTACGACTACGCACAATACATCGCCGCACACAAGTACCCAACAGACGAGTCCACACCAGGGGTGCGAGTGCTGCGACAGGCGGAGAATACGCGCATACAAGCACTTGGAGGGGATCTGAGCTTGTATGTAGGGCAGATGAGAAGCAAGCGAGTGGAAAAGACGACCCACATCACACCCAATACACACCCCAGTGTGTGTATTGGTGTAGATGCGTGGTATGACACCGGCATGAAAGATACGGTCCCAAATACACCATCTGATGCACGTAGTGTTTTGAATGAACCGGCCAAGGCGTGCGTCAGTGGTATGGCGGATGGGACAGGTGCCTCGGCCATTCTTGTATCCTCAGGTGCACAACCCACATCCGCCTCTGTGTTTGCGGATGAACACAGCACATCAGCACCCCAGAGCCCATCGCAAGAGCCATTAATGTGCGCGGACAACACGGACACCTCCTCAGACGACGCATCAGATGATGTATCTAGAGACGAGTCAGAAGGTATAGGGCACGGAAGGGCTTGTGCTGCAAGTGGCATGTGTGGAGATGGCGCCACAAAGGGTGGGAGTGGGGGAGGGAAAGGAGGATGTTTGGCAGAAGATGATGGTCTTGGAACTGCGGCTGATGGTGATAGGGTAGATTGTGGTGAAAACGAGACAGAGAATGCCGGACACGGGTCAGGTGAAAGTGGAAATGGGCATGAGAGTGGTGCATATGCACCAAAAAGTGGAGGTGTTGTAGACGACAGAAGTGGCCAATATGAGCGTACCGGCAATGGGGTGCAGGGCATTGAGACCTTAAGTGAGGCGGAGCTACTCACTCTACAACGCATGCTCTACGGTACTGAAATCTATAGCGCCAACCCAGGCACCACCTCTACCTCCCAGGTATCCGACATCCCTTCGGAACACCCAGACGATCGCGTGACATTACCACAAGCTTCTACCACAATGCGGCAGTCCTCTCTGGACAGCTCAGGTGTATCCAACGAGACTATAGGCACCTCCACCACCCCTTCCTACCCCTCCAGCGAGAGCATGTAGATGGCAGAGCTTGTGCCAGGGCAGCGAAGTACACACGCACCGGCGAGTATTAAAGTGGAGACGGTAGGCGAGAACGGTAGCGTTAAGGAGGTATACAGCGTAGGCATTGATGAGTTGGCTGTGGACGTCGATGTCCTGGACAACGGGCCCAATCTCAACACGGCTCAGCAGGGCGATACAATCATGGATACGAATGTATTGGACATAAAGGTTCCAGTGATTGACCTCACAGCCACAGGGGTTGCTGAAATTCCACTCATTGATCTGACGGATAGTGACTCGCCCGCCACTGCTCAGCCTGGTACATCCGACGAGACGTTTATACTGGGCCACGATGCGGCCAATGATGAGCTTTAAAGTGTGCTTGGGTACTTCGGGTAGAGACGGCTGCCATGAGTTTGAGGTTCTGTGTATGCTACATACGCGCAGTTGGCGTACCTTAATACGAAGGCTGAGAGAAGTATAAGCCTACATGTCTACCTACATCTCTGCGCAGAATAGCTCACTGACTCGCTCGGGACAGGATTTTCTTCGGCTGAGTCTCCGTTCCATGTCATAGAATGTTCAGCTCATATTCACAGCGACAAACCCACAACCACCACACGGGGTGTGAGGTGTGTGAGACACTGTGTATCCAGATATATACCTTTGTACTCTGCGAGTTCCTCGCCTAGTTTCTTAGGCAGCAAGTATCCAATGCGTTGTGCGACCCTCTGCCAGGCTAGACCAACGCATTAACCCTCTTCCCCACCAATCACAGAGTTCTGAGCTTTTCAGTCAGATCAACAGGTTCACTCTTGCTATTTGTACAATGAGTTTCGAATAAATCTTTTTCTGTCGGTCGAATTATGCGGATACTCCACTCTGAGCTTCTATGAACTCGATGATACGACAGTTATTCCATCCACTACGTCATTCATGCCTTGTGGCTTGCACGAATACACCATCTCGACCACAGAGAACTATATGTCTCTTTCGAGGGGTCCATCATAGCACAGCTGTTGAGCTGCAAAATGAGTTAAAGGCGTATCACGTGAACGAGTGATGCCAAGAGGCTCTCACACGGCTGGAGCAGTTTTTAGATTCCATGACAGAACTGATTTATCCAGAGGTTGAATATGTACTAGGCATTTACGTGGCCACTAGATAACGTTTGTCGAGACTCGAGCTAATAAAATCCATAAGCGCGTATTTTTAGGATTGTTTTGGAAGAATCAAGTGTAGCATATGGTGAGTTTTCTACACCCCCCCCCCCCCTTTTTTTTTTTTCCGTATATATCTGGATGTATGCGAAGCCCAAGCTATATAGCAGAAACAGTTGTATCACTGCACATTTGATGAGTACAAATACATTCATATTCGTAAATGTCTATGACTAAATCAGTTATACACGCATGGCGGCTGGAATCTGCGATATTGTGAGACTTCTACAGAATTCTTCTGACTCGCACTCACACATGAATAAGCTTTGAGACGAGGAACTAAATCAGTATTTTACTATCTAAACTGCGGTAGTGTGGTGGATGTGGGCATCTGGTGCATTGCTATGAGGCCAGCTACCACAGCCGTCGCTCAGAGGTGCATCTGCGAGACCAGCTCATTGGCGAACTTCTTATACTGCCACACATCTCCTCCCAGCCGCTTCAAATGCAGCCCCACCATCGACAGCCGGCTGATATGGCACGTTTCAAACTCTACGCGCACGCCCTTCTTCTGTGTCTTGTCCTGCCAGGCCGTGATCACAAAACCCTTCTGCTCATACTCGATCCCATTCGCATTTAACACGCGCACACACTCCGCCAGCACCTCATGTGCCGGCAGTCGAGAGGTCGTAGCCGAGTTAAAACTGAACCAGCCCTTGATGGTGCGTATCTCACCCAATTCTGGATTGACCTCTCGACTCGTAGGTGGGCCTCGCTTCTCCTCACTGGTCCCCTGCTTGCCAGCGGCACTGTTCGCCTGTGCTGTACCTTCGTCTTGGCCGTGCGTGGTCGTATGCGCATGTGCTGGGGGCTGTGGTAAACCCCACATTGCAGCACGTTCCACGATACCTTCCGGAAGGGGTGTGGCGCCGGCTGATTGTGACTGGATCTGCATAGCACTATCAGTCGACATACCCGCAGCAAGACCCAACAACTGCCGGCCCTCGCTCGAGTGCGTGAGTTGGGTGAAGTTGGTTGGGCTTTTCACCAGAATGTTTGCATGCGAGTGTGTGGGTGTGGGTGTGGTGGCGCTTGTGGCTGTGACTGCCCTTGCCCTGAGATTGGGTTCTGTGGCCCTCGGGGTGCCCTCCATCACCGCCGCTGCCATGATATCCTGCTCAAGCCTCTTGCGACTGGATTGCCTGCCGAGTTTCTTACCGTCGTCCTTGTCCTCGCTACCGCCCTTCTCCTTCTTCTTGGCGTCCTTGTCCTTAGACCTCGCGGGCTTGAAGAAGCTCAGCGCACTCTTGGCCACATCCAGACTGAACCGTCGCGGGGACGTGGTCTCGGTGCTGGTAGTCGATCGGTGGCTGCTCGCACTGAGCGTCTTCTTGATCTGCGAGTCTCGGTTCCTTTTCTTTTTCGCACGGAAGCCCAGTGACGTGCCGCTCAGCGTCTTCTTAGCCTTCTCGTGCACCGCCTCCTTCACTGGCGCCAGTTTGGGGCTGCGGTCCATAGTGATGAGAATGGCTGCACTGGGTGTGTAGGGGGTCATGGGCATGTTAGGCGTCTCCGGATGGCCAGACCTGCATGATTTGATACTGGATGCCTCGTAATCTTCTTGCACGAGTTCCGCGTCGGCATCCTCATCTCCCCCTGCCGCTCCGACTCCGACGGTTCCTGCACTCACACTCTGCACCACCCCAGGTAACTGCATCTCACCCTCAGAGCCTTTGTTTGCGATACCCAGGCTACCCACAGCTCCATCTCGTGCCTCAGTCGATGTCTGCCTGGAGGTCCCGTTGGACTGCTTGTGCGTATTATTGTCCGTGTTTGTGCTGGTACCCGGACTCGAGCTAGACCCCGTGGCGTGTGTGTCGATAGCTACAGGAACCAGGCGGTTCTGAGAGATCAACATGGTCTGTGGGACTAGCATGTTCTGGGGCACCAACATGGCATGTGGTACAAGTGTATTGCCATCACCCATGGCCCCGACCTCCTCGTCCGGCTCCCCTGCACTGTCCAACTCCAGGCCGTGGTAGCTGCTGTTGCCGCTGCTGTCGTTTGATTTAGGTGCACCCAGGCCCGAAATCCCTACGCCCCCATTTCCATGTGCAAGGCCTCCTACCTTCCCCGCAAGGTCGCCCAGCGTCCCCTTTCGGTGTGTGCTGCCACTGCCTCGGCAGTTGATGGTCGCTGTAGGTGTGGTGTGTGTATAGGTCCGTGAACCCGACTGTGTACTGCCTGGAACGAGTGGACGTGCTCCTCCGTGCCGAACGAAGCTGTCGGAAGAAGAAGTGTTTGTGTGAGTGCCTGACACGCCCTGCGTCCGCTCAGGGGCGTTAATGGGGTTGCTCTTCCCGGTCTTGTGCTCGGGTTTCTCCGTGGCCTGAGTTCGGGTGGGGTTGGCATTGGACTGCACACCACTGTCTGAGCGCCTTTGTGCTTCTTGTGGGACTCCCCGCACCTTCATAGCACCGTTCGCGTCTGTTGTCGCACTCTCCGATGTGCTACTCGGCGAACCATCGTCCAGCTTCTGTCTATCCGCAATCATCTGTTCCTGCGTCTCTGGGGTGGCAAACAATTTGAACGCAGGCACTAGCACCGCCCCAGGGCTGTGGTCGTTGGTCCCAGGCAAGACCGGACCCCCCGCAAAGAACGGGGCTGACACGGCCACGGGTGTGGTGGGCGTGCGCGTGTCTGGCTGTGCACCTGTGCCATCATCCAGGGCCGTCCGGGGTGGGCCCTGGTCTCCCGGGCCAAGGCCTATAGCCGGGACAGAAGGTTTGTCCTCGGCGGATGCTGGTGTGTAATTGACCTGTGTGCTGTCATGGGTGGTGCTGGTCGTGGTGGTGCCAGTGTTGCTCTGGGTTGGAGTAGCTGCGCTCCCCACCCTACCCCCCGTGTCAACCACGGGTTCTGATTGCGTGGGTGCACCAGGGCGTGGTGTATGGGTCTTCTCTCGCTCACTCACCACACCCTCCACAGACCCCCCCCGAGTGCCTTGTTGCTGTGCTATCCGAGTCTACGCTCGTACTCACGAGACTACCTACCGTCCCGTCCTGCCCTGCCTCCCCATCGGCCCTTACATTCGCAGTCTCCTTTTCGGGCTTTTCCACCTCAGGTGAACCCGGCGCGTCCTCAGTAGCTTTATCCGGCTTCTTATCAGTGTGTGATCCTTCGGCTTTGCCTTTGTCCTCCCCCGTGCTTGTACTTGTACTCGCATTCGAATCCTTTTCACTCCCCGTTGTATAAGCTCTTACGACTTTATTTTTGCTGGCTGGTCCTGGCAGATCCCCAGCATCCCCGGGACTGGGCTTCTTGTTACGCATAGTAAGTTTTGGCGGGAAAACAGAGTGGTCCTCCCAAGCGTCTCGGTAGCCCTGGCTTAGCAATTCCTGTCGTATGTGATGTACAGTTCGCAAGAGAGTATATGAACATGTATGATATACATACGTATATACAGAGAGGTTTGGAGCCAGGTTTATGTAGTGCTTAGATACCAAGCTGTGGAAAGTGTGAGGTCTAGCAGTTGACTAAGAAAAGACTACGTCAGATGCTATGGGGTGTGGCCAATACCACAAAACGAAAGTTTTTTTTTGCCATACCAACAGTTAAATATAAAAGCAAGAGCTTAGTGTATGCCCAACAGCACTCGCGCATGACACAGAGATCATCTATACAAACTTTCAGACAGATCTCAAACAGTGCACAAGCTGATCCTAAACCATTGGCCTCAACTCCAGTCCAAGAAATGTCTTAAAAAAAGGCATATGTAGAGTATGCATTCGCCCATCCGCAGCACGCGGGAAAACATACGTGTAAACGTTACACAACCAGTACATTCTGCCCGTCCTCTTTGATGCTGTACGAGTGTTCACACACTACAAGCATTGCGTAGCGCTCATATACACTTGTGCACGCACCCCATACGTCGTTATAACATATACAGTTTTCTTATGGAATGAAGCGTGATATAAAGCAGGACAATTCAATAATTATAAATACGCTACTACCTTCATTCACACATACAGATACACACACACTCAAGTCTGGCACGTACCAGAGCCACCTGTAGATGGGAGCCATCCACACGGGTAGTATGCACGGATCAAAAGTCACACACCGCCAGCAACTGACAGTATAAGATTCGAATCTGCAGCACACACTCACTCTATACCACGCACAAACATGCACACAGCGAGGGTTCTCTGCCCGAGCGTGCAGCTGACCAACTATATTCCCATCGCCAACCACGTCGACTACGTGACGCAATACAACTCAATCCACACATGAATCTAACTTGTACGCGTATACACATAAACTGCTTAGGCCTGGCGTACCTTGTTCAGAGTCTCGAACCGCTCTGGCGGTGAATTGTAGCCCTCGTTGACCCACGCATTCGCACGGACCTGTGACAGAGAATTAGCCACGAGGTGAGCACACGGATATGAAGATGGCTGAGTGTGTGTGTAGTTGAGAGTACAGTTGTTTCGGAATACGCGCACATATAGTCATCAGACACATAGGTTATGATCGGTTGACTTGTGTACACATATCATCGTAGCGGTGCTGATAGATACACAGTGCGTGATATTGGTATGGTCCCTTGAACTGCGTACACGTATCATCGTAGGTGCCCCTATAATTAGTCTCCACTGTGATGCTAGAGTATTAAAAAATTACGATTGGTTAATTAGCTGCGCTTCGTTTATAGTTTTTGGTACTGATAGACCCACAGTGTGTGACATTGGTATGGTCAGTTTGAACTGTGCACACATAGGCGATACCATCGTAGCCGTGCGGACATACACATAGTAAGTGACATGCGTATGCAAACAATACGCTAACAAATCAGCGCCCAATCTGTGGCATCTCATCTCATGCATCCATTCTGTACTGCAGGGCATGGGTGGAACTTTTAAACTCGAAGGTAAAGGGCTAGTGCGTTTCTACCAGGTGATCATACGCATGTATTCCCTGTGTGGCATCACTCGTGGGTTGGTTCTCATGGCGACCGCATCAAAAAGAATTCGCCAGGTTGTATGTCAAATACTACACATGCCAACCGTGGTGTATGTGAGGTGTCGCAGATGTCGAAGCCAATGCCTGGTGACACGCCTGTCACGCGTCGTATCTATCTGTTTCGCACCTCCTGGTAATCGATACTTCTGCACAGTGAATGTACCGAATGTTACCTCTTGAACCACATCTACAGCGGTGGTCAGTGACCCCCACACGGTGAACTCTCCATAGTACACGTGCATACCTCATTCATCTTGGCTCGATTGCTGGGTTCGACCGTTAGTAAGCGGCGGATGAGATTTCGAGCATCTGTCGAATAGAGTGTGAAAGGAAGTGTACACCAACATATGAGACTCCACTAGGAACATAATATAACATAATATATTAAGCTGTTAATGTAGTAAAATTAATATGGAATCATCAAACAACTTAAGTGGACCCGATAGAGTCGAGTTTCTATCCACAGGTGTCCTCTATGAGTGTTGCAGGCAATAGGCGCCAATTTTGAACAACGCGCTATTGCAGGAGAGACCAATAGAAATTCACCTATCTAAATAGCAAACTGATACAGCATGAATATATATATATATATATAATTTACTATATGTATGTATGGATGTATGTATGTATGTATGTATGTATATGTATATGTATATATATATATATATATATATATATATATATATATATATATATATATATATATATATATA